AAAAATATTAAATTTATAAAAAATTTATTATAAAATATTAAGGTTTACATATTAAAGAATAAATGTACTAAAACATACAATATTTCTAAGAATAACCCAAATTTAGTTCAGAAAGTATAACTATACTTTGGAACAAAATAGTAACATGTCGATGATGGGGATTGATGAAGATTAAATGGTTCCTTATATATTAATAGACGTAAATCAACAATATTCATTTCACTTTCATTTATTGTCACCTCATATGCATATTTTATTTTTATAAAGATGGGTAATACACTTTGCAGTAACAAAGAAGGGACAATCTTCAATGACAAATATGTTTATAATTTGTTCCAACTGGGGAAAACTTACATTATCCTGACACATTCCTGTACAAATAACCATTCCATTTTTATAATGGTAGCAGTAATCTATCCATTTCGGAATTAAAATGTCCCTTTCTTCCGAAAATATTTCAATATGTTCATGTATAAGAGAAATAAATTTGTAATCTTTAATTTTTGTAGATGAAGATGGACCGAGTTGTACTTTTATATTAAAATGATCTGCATCCAATATAGTCATTTCCTGAATTTTTCCCGCAAGAGTTTTAGCAAGATTTTTAAAGTTTTTGAATTTTTGAACTAAAATTTTAGATACCGCATGTTTTCCTTCATATCTCATTGACCATAAGTTTATTAAAGGACCCATGCGCTTAATTATTCTGGGGTAATGAATTAAAAAATGTAATTTTGGAGTTAAAGAGTGTTGAAATTCGGACAAAAAAATAGAGTGATGTTCTTAAATAATATCATGTAAATCGGCTATCATTGAAAAAGAAATTCGAGGAGCAAATATTATGTTCATAATTTTTAATAATAGTAATATAACTGTATTTTTTTTCTGTAAATCGGATGTTAAAATGATATCATCTATAATAAGAGGTAAGTATCTTATTAAAGTCCAAGTTTGACTAGCTCTTTGACCTATTAAATTTCCAGGTTTATCCAAAATAACTGGACTTGGTTTCACAGATTGATTAGTAAATCCATAGTGAAAAAGTTTTATTCTATTGTTAAGCTGTTCCAAAGTTATTAAATTTGCAGTAATTAGAGAACTAATAAACAGTTTTATTTCAAGTGGAGCACACCCTTCAAGAACATCGTGCATTATATCAACAGAATACGAATCTCCTAATTTGAAATACGTCAACTCATTTAAAACACTTTGCCTGCGTATTCCCATAAAATTATTATCTTCTGTTGCCTTTAAACTTTGTTGTTTAAACAATGTACTACTTCTTTCAATACTATTGATATCAGACACTTTATAATGCATTTCACTTTTATGTAATAAACAAAATCTACAGTAGTAATTTGCTTGGAAAGATTCTACCATTCCATGTAATGTATTAAGTCCTAGATTATCTCCAGAAAGTGAAACTAATGTACCAAAAATTGGTTCATCTATTCCTTCCACCGTAAGTCCATTTGATTCCAATAATTTAATATCATTTATTATTGGTTTTAAAATACAATTTATTGAAATATCATCGCATTTTAAGTCAGAAGTAAAAAATAATGCTAATAAATGAATATTTTTAAGTTGAGAATTTGAAGCTGAAGGAAAATTTAAAATTCGAAAATAAATTGCTCCCATTTTATGACAACCTGTTTTAGATCCCAATGGATTTGTGGTTTCGAAATCATCATAATAAAGCTGTAGTTGCAAAAAGTATTTTTTTGATTGAAATAAAGCGTTTTTTTCTAATATTGAACCTTTGACCAGTTTTAAAGTATCCAAATAGTATTTTTTTTCAAGAAATAGTTGCTTGCAAAAATCAAGATTTTTTAATATTATTAATTTTAAAGATTTTAAAATTGGTATGTACTGAAATGTAAGTGGGACGTTTCTCTCGATCATTGCATTTTGTTTTTGATCAAATATATTATCAGAACGTGTTCCAATGGTTATTTCTTGAGGTTTTACGTAATTAAAAGATTTCAGAATTTTACTCCTTTTGTAACTGGTATCATATTTTTTAAATTCTTTTTTAATCGAATTGTATACAGAATTTATAAAATTAAATGTTTCTTTATTGGTAAAATGATGTTTGGATATTTCATCAAATATACTTTCTATTAGTTCTTTAATTGATTCAAAAATGGACTGGGTTTGGGGTTTTGGAAGAGATAAATGCAAAACTTGGAGGATAAATATTTTAAATGACGTTTCAATATTATTCGATTGATCTTCTGAAAAATCATTGTAAAAAGTTGTATTTTTAAAATCATTTTGGTGGTGTTCATTGGAAACTTTAAAACAATTTTGTGCAATATTTGCCTCGTTGTTAATTAAAGAATTTAAATTTTCGTCCTGAATTAAAGATGAAGGTTGTGGTTCGTGCTTTAGTAGGTGTCTGCGATATCCACTAAATGAGCGAAATGAATAGATGCAATTAACATAGTTACATTTTAAAGAAAGATTAGGGTTATCAAAAAGTGAATGATAAATTCTTAAATGTTTTATGGTTTCGTTACTATTTTGTAAGATTCTAAGGCATATATGGCATTTAAACATATTTGGGTTATTTTACAAAAATATAAAATACAGAATAATATTAGTTCTTATTATACAGTAGGCTGGGCCGAAAAAATTATTTTTAGAAATCTCACTTGGCATAGTAAAAAAAAGTTGTAACATGGGTAGACAACCTAGCTGATTTTTTTTCAAAATTTAAAAACATGTTTTAGCCTCGCCCCCGGGGGGCTAAAAATTTTTTTTTTTCAAATTTAAATTTTGGATTTGGCATAGCATAAAACTGATAGATATAAGCTTACTTATGACACACGCAAAAATTGGTTAATATATTTTAATTTCTAGCCGCGCCCCATGACGTTTAACTGGGGATGAAAAATAATTTTTTAATACCACAGTTTGGCATACCAAAAAATTGGTAGGGTCAACTCAATTACGACATAAAAACAAAATGATTAAAACATTTTAATATTTAACCTTGCCACTGGGACCTTAAAACAGGTATATTTTAAAATATTATATTTTTGTCTTGTCATAAGAAAATAGATCATTTCCTACTCACTTATAGCCGAAAAAGAAATGAATAAAAATCTTAATATTTACTAAACATCGTATAACCGAGCCCGCTATTGTAAACAAAAGAGGTTACCTAAATAAATACCACCCTTTTATTGCTGCCATGTGGAAATTGCGTGGCGCCTTCCACTGAAACAAGTGATATAAAGGAATGATACAGTGTAACTTTAACGCGTTGTGAAATAAGTGTACTTTGGGCACAGATAATTACTTTCCTTTAATTATAGTTTAGTTAAGTTATAGTTATATAATAAGTACAATTTAGCTATATAATAGGAGTAATTTAGTTATATAATAATGCAATAAGACTAAGTGGTGTTTTGTTTTTTGGTTTATCTATTTTAAAAACAATATGGATAAAGTTAAAACTAGGAAAGCAGACACTTTTCCAATATTTGGTACTGCCTGCGACATAGCTTCTGAATACTGCGCTTGTATGTGGCCACTTGCAGTCCTTCTGAGAACTTACTTCTTTTAGTGCAGTTTATTATGAAAGTGTACGCCTATGTGGTTCAATATAAAAACGCAATCTTCAATTAAATATGGTTCGGTACATTTATGGAAAACCATTAGTGAGTCAAGGGGCCTTCCTAAAGGAGTCAAAACAATTATTGATAAAGTAATTTCAACTAACGCGTATTTCGCCCATCCCGAGAATATTCTGATAGCTATGATTGCTGACGAGAGAAGTCATATTAGGGAACTTGGTATACGACGCTTATTAAAGACTAAAAAACAACCAGCAGCAAAAAAATTACGAATATTTAAAATACCACCTTTAAATTGGAATGCCAAAGACTATACCGAAATGATAAATTGGAGTGAATGTTGTATTACAGAGCCCCCACTAACAATTGATATCAAAAGCGAAGATTTGTTAGCAGCAATTGAAAATAAATCTTTTATTAATTTTAGCAAATTACCAAGTCACACTCAAGCTGTGGAGCGATGCGTAAAGATTATAACCGAAGCATCCAGTAAAGTTTGTGGTCACTCTTCAAGAGACGGTTTTATAAGGGTTAAAATAGAGGCAAGAAAAAATTTACCCATGTTAGATAATAAAAAACAATACTACAATGTTGAAAAGTAAAAACAGGTATATTATTATACTACACTGAAAGAAATATATACTAAAGTTAAATAAAAAAATAATTAGGGGAAATATATTTTATGTTTCATATTTGGACTACCACATACATTGCTAAAACAAATATATTCGTTTGGTTAGCAGCCTATTGCTGCCCTAGCAATATAAATGTGTTTCTAGCAATATTTTTTTGCTGTAATTCACTTATAGTTTACATTTTATAGTAAGGGTAAGTTTATTTTTATTTAGATCTAACATATCTTCTTTACAATAAATGTATTACAAAATTTAACATACATTCATAATAAACAGTAGTATAAATGTGTAAAGCACTAGTATAAAATTTTTAGTATAAATTTGTGTTTACTTTTAGCAACAAATTTCTTTCAGTGTAAGGGATGGAAGGGAGGGTGCAACTCCCCGTGGTGAGTTGTGGGTTGACTAAATGATGATTGATATAAAATAAAATAATTTTGGTGCCCGATTTAATCATATATGATATATCATCATTTTTTAAAGCAAAGAGCTGCATATTGAAACTTAAAATGCCAAGGGGCGCGGCTAAAAATTAAAATATATTAACCAGATTTTTTTTGTGTCGCAAGTGAGCCGATACCTATCAGTTTTTTGCTATGCCAAATCCAAAATTTAAATTTGAAAAAAAAATATTTTTAGCCCCCCGGGGGCGAGGCTAAAACATTTTTTTAAATTTTGAAAAAAAATCAACTAAACTGTCTACCCCCCTTACAACTTTTTTTTACTATGCCAAGTAAGATTTCAAAAAATATTTTTTTTTTGCCTTTTTCGGCCCAGCCTATTATACAGGTACCTTGAAGTGGGTGAGCCTTGTTCTTAGTTCAATCATCTTTGGAGTGTATATTATTTTTTCTGCATCAATTTCAAAATAATACGTTTGGATAAACCTCCAAAAATGTTTCAAATATTCATCATATTCCAGACTAAATACGAAGTGACTCATAAACAGACACTGAATAGCTTTCGCACTGCTGCAGAACCGGGGACATGGAATTATTTTATTATCCAGTATTATGTTATACTGTGTAATGGCCCCCTTATTGCTTCCTTGAGCAACAATAATTGGCTGTGACGTTCTTTTTTTGGAAATTACTTCTTCCAGTGGAATATTGTTCTAAAAATATGTAAAAAAATATTATAATTAATATGTTTGCAGAAAAAATAATAATACTCACATTTTTAAACACTATGAATCGATCAATAGGTGATAAATGATTATTTTCTTTATTTTGTCTGTTTGGCGTAGGTGGTAACATATACAAAATTGCAAGAGCTGCTCGTGTGGTTTTATCCCATCCTAAAAATCAAATATATAAAATGTACTTTCATATTTACACTAAAAAACATTTCTATATATATTTCTATATACATTTCTATATATATATATATTAGGGTGAGCCAAAAAAACTAAACTATCGGATTTATGGGTTAAAATGAACCTACATACCGAGCAAAAAATTTCCCTGCAAGGCAAAAATTTTTGCTCAATTTTAAAAGGTGTCGGTGAGCATTCTAAGTTTTCCATTGAAATAACACGTAAAAAAATCTTTTTTCATTAAAAAAACTGCAGTTTTAGTGATTTTTTACACTTTTCAAAGCTTTCAAACATACGAATTTTTGAAATAAGTAAAATAATCCTGGTATAGATTCTTTGGGAAATTTTATGCTCTACAAGAATCCGCGACGTAAAAAATTTTATCTCAAACGGTTCAAAAGTTATAGTCTTTTTAATGAAAAAAGATTTTTTTACGTGTTATTTCAATGGAAAACTTAGAATGCTCACCGACACCTTTTAAAATTGAGCAAAAATTTTTGCCTTGCAGGAAAATTTTTTGCTCGGTATGTAGGTTCATTTTAACCCATAAATCCGATAGGTTAGTTTTTTTGGCTCACCCTAATATATATATATGTATATTTACCTGGCTCATTGAGAGGGGAGCTTTTCTGGATGTCCAATAAGGGGTTTTTTACGGTGTAATCATATATATTTAAAATTTTATCCAAATCTGCAGTGAAGCGATCCTCAAAGTTTACTTTGTTTGGAAACTCAATCAAAAAATCTCGTTCAAGCTGTAAAAGAATAAACATTTATACTTAATTATTTACTACTACACAAACTTGCCAATGAGGGAACGTCAAAAAATCTTGGAAACTCTTTAAGAATTATATCTCCCAAGCCTTTTCTATACTTGTAAGTAAAATCCATTTTTTGATATATTACATCCAACTCATTTTTATCAACATGTTTTAAAAACTCAATAGCATCAGATATTTCTTGTGTTTTTTCGATTATTTTTGTAATTTTGGCCGGTGGTTCATTTTGTAAATCATTTTTCTGTTTTCGTTTAGGCCCTTCTTTTTTATACGTAGTTCTGGCTATTGTTCTAAGACGCCATGACAAATATCCTTCTCCTCCATTATTGTTGGAATAAAATGCTTCCTAAAATAAATAATTTATTACGTAATAAGTATATTTAATTTACATTTAAACTCAACATATCCGTATTTTCCTGTAGGATCCCGTAGAGAAGGAAAAATATTTATAATGGCCTCTCCCAAATTTCTTTTAGCAAATTCTGGTACTTTTAAACCATACATTTCTACCAATTTCGCACATGTTATATTGACAAGTTGTTTTCTTTCTGTATTGGGCATCAAACCCAATTTCTCATATTTATTAAGGATATCTCCACCATTTTTTATAATTATATCTTTCCATTGCTAAAATGTTTAACATAGTCAACTTTTAATTAATTAATTTTTAAATATATAATATACTTCTGTGGACATGGTGTTGGAAGTAACAGTAGGGCAAGCAATGCTTGTACTTGTAGATTGAAGTTCGGTAAATAATGATTCAGCTTCTAAATTATGAGATTGAGTCGCAGTATAACAATCTTCGTCCAGCCAATTTTCAATGCTCATAACATCTGACCTATGACTTTCGACCGGGCTTACAATTGTCACCGTAGAATTACTGGCTAAAGATATTTAAAAAATAGGGATTTTATTTTAAATGAATATTGTACTGTAAAATTCATTTCACCAATTTATTATAATATAATATGTATAGATAAAATATATTAATTATTAATATTTTGACTTTCTGCAACATAAAATTAATCTTACCGTCATCGCTTCGCAACTTATTAACTATTAAGGTACATATAGTTTTAGTTTGTGAATTAAGAAAATCTATCAAAATATCTGACTCAATAATAGTCCCTTCTGAATCCATGAAAAATATTGGGTGCTCCCCCAGTTCTGGAAACTTACTTTTTGCTAAAAATTTAAAAAAAATTGAGTTTTAGGTATTTAAATGAATAGTAATAATGTAACGATATGCATGCGAAGAGGCATCCCAACATACATAAAATACAATAGATCAATTTGTTTCCAGTCGAACCTCTATAATTCAATATTTCTAATGAAACTTTTAGAAATAGCACCTAAACTTCTATTACTCAAATATTTTGATAACTTGAATAAAATATGTATATTCGATAATGGATATAATGAGCTCACAAAACACCAAAAATATCATATTACATTATTACAATGTATATATCATATTTTATTCGAATCATCAAAATATTCGAAATCACTAGTGATTTGTTATTAGTAATTAGGGTTGGAACGGAAGTCCGCTTTGGCCGAAGTTTTTGCCGAATCCGGCCGGATTTTTGTATAATAAAACAAATACTATTCATTCGCTATAAATAGATAAAATAAAACCAGGGTGGGCATGAATTAATTTAAATGCATCACCAAATCATCAGTTATTTAATTCATCATTAAATCAATAAAAGAGTGTAAAAAGTAAAAAATAAAAAAAAATATTGTTGTAAAAAGTAAAATACTTAATTTATGACGAAATTATTTAAAACATACTTTTGACTTTTACATAAAAGACATTTTTTTAATTTTTAAGTTTGTGTATAAAAATATAATAAATTAGAAATAGTACCTAAATTAATTCAAAAAGTCTTACTTTTTTTTAATTTTTTTATGACTTTTTTCAACCTAAATAAAACACAACTTACATCTAACTAAATATAAGTAGGTATAGTACAAGTATAGTATAAGTAATAATTATAATAATAATAATAATATAATATACTAAGTATATTGTGAAAACAGTGGGAAAAAGACGAGCGTGTAGTTTGCCACACGAGTGTAGTCTACGCTGTAGAGAGTGCGTCAACACACAAGTGGATTCTCCTCGTTTGACCAATTTCCCACACAATATTTTATTAAACTACCGTAATTAATTTAAAGCCAATTATTTCGCCCACTCTAAGCAGGGCCACGAAATTACATATTCCTTGCGGGTGGCTTGCGCATTCGGGGATTTACAGAAACAAGTTTTGTAAATACCCGTTCTTTGCTCGCTCGACAATTGGTGTGGCTTTTTGATCAAACTTTTTCTGATATCGGTACAAAATATTAAGTTCATCTGTTAAAAACTTAAGCTGTTTAAAATTGTTTACAAGTACTAGGAAACAGTTAAAAAAATTATTATTATTTTGAAACAATTAAAGGGTTTTAAAAGGCGAATTATTTTAAATAAAAGGGATAAAAATCCGGACTATTGTCCGGCCCAATGCGAGTCCGTTCCATCTCTATTAGTAATTAAATAATACCACGTGCCGGTACACTGTACCGGGTACAGTTTAGTGTATACGATTTAATAGATGTTGGATTAAAAAATAAAGTATTTATTATTTTTTCAAAGTTTTCCTTTGTCAATCACAAATAACCGATTTTATAAAATGAATAAATTAAATGTATGCAAATATCAAAAATATTTTATGTAGTTACCTAAATTTTCATAGTCTTCATAGGAAAAGCACGTGTTCGCTTTTGAGAGCTTAGATACATGGCCGTGTTTTATTTTTATAAAAAAATCAGTACTTTCCTCCGCTGAAAAGAAGCAATTTATACTAAAGTGATATATATTATTTTGATTTTAATCGTGTACACCTATAGACTCTATGGTATAGAGTATGACAATTTTATAATATTGGTATTTTACAAGGAATGTGTAGTAGTATACAAGATTTTAAGACGTTTTATTATTAATGATTGTTTAATTTATGTCTTTGCAACGTTTTTACTATTTAATTAATCCCAAATACATAAATAAAACAATAATAATTATTATAATAATGTACTTACCCATAATGCACACAAAATCACTGCCACACTGCCAAATTTCAATGAAACAATGAACAAAAACGGCTAGTCGAGTCTAAAGAGAAACACCCCACCAAGTGGCGTGAGCCAATCACACTAAATAGAGTTAAATCTACACATTTTAGAGTTAAAATATGCACTAATAAGAATGTTTTAGAGATATTTAGATAAAACTGTACCATGTACTAGATTTAAAAATAACTCTACAAAAGTTATAATCTAATTGATTTAGTGAAAATATCTACTCTAATTTAGTAAATATTTTTATAATAGAAATAGAGTTACATTGTGACTAAATAGTGTAAAATATATTTAATCTAAAGTTAGAGTTAAAAAAGAGTTACCTAGATGAAAAATAGATAAGATTGGATTTTAGAGTTAAAATAATGCATACGTTTACCCTAGATTTTAACTCTAATAGTTTTACCAGGTACTCTAGAAAATTTACACGGGCAAATTTTTTGCTGTGTAGCAACAGTATTTGTTGGAAAACGGAAACTAAAATGAAAAGAATTTTAATAAGAAATGTTGCTTTATTAATCAATTTCCCAAACAAAAAAATTAACACATTTTTAACTACATAAATGATCACAAAAATAATTAAATAACACACCATTCGGAAATCATCAAATTATAAAGAAATTTGGTACAATATACATAATTATCAGTATTACTACAACACTTACTAATGTATTTCTTAACTTTAACCCACTTCACTGTATCCCATAATTTTAGTTTGAAAACCAGTAATGGCATCTTTTTTCGGATACTTCACACACTCGTTAAATAGCTGTAGGAAATCCGAATAACAATAATAATTATAATAGATTTCTGGTAATATATTATGAACACTCTTTACTTTACGAATTAGAATAAAGTAAGCATGTTTTTCTACAGAAAAATAAGTTGCAGGCGCTAAAGTCCGTTAAACTTGTCGATGCGTATTGTCAGTGGGAAATGTTTTGATTGACTGCCTGAAATCACGTGTACTTTTTCAACGAAATAATTTGTTAAACATTAACAAAATAATCTGTAACCTTTGAAATTAATAAAATGCCTACAAATTTGCACATTACCTTTACAAAACTTTTGGTAAAATATTTTCCTTTGTTAAAATAATTACAAATCCTGGTTTTCTACAAAAAATTTTACAAAATAAAATTAACAAACTACAAACTCATGTTAACAAATTTGATTTTTATAACAGTGTAATTTTGAAACGAAGAAAAACTTAAAACTTTGACACGTTGTATCTTGGTTATTATTAACTTTTGTATATGGAAAGTTTAAATAAATCGGATTGTTTCGACTTAAGAGTCTGCTGTTGCTCTGTGTCCCATTACTTTTGGACCACCAAAACAAAATTAAAATATAATTGTCGAAAATTTCGAGAAAATAAGTATAAAAACTGGTGGGTGTTCCTTGAAATTTGCGTTTTTATCGGAAGTAGTTAATCAATTAGGGCACTGCATTATATGTCTCAATCTGGAGAATGCTTCTCTAAGATTGGTTAATCGCTTCCGATAGAAATTACTTAACATGGAAAGTAAAGTCGCATTTCAAGAAAATAACTACAATTTAGAATAAAAAAACAGTTTTCAGGACGTTATTTTTAAATGACGCTTAAACTATAAATAAGAATTTAATTTTCATATATAGTTGCTAAGGGTGCTGTTTTTGTAAACAAGTTTTAGATATATGACTTTAAATACTAATAAAACTGCTGGTACATTGTACCAGGTACAAACAACAATACAGCAATTTAAAGCATTTAATTAATCCGCTTTAGTTTAGTTATAAATTATAATTAATTTTCAATAAATAAAATTTTATAAGTTACACAAATACAATTTTCGAGAGTAGACCACAAATATTTATTTTGGGAATAAAAGTGTGTTTTTAAAATCAACCACATGTTTTTCATTAGTAGGTTTATTGGTTGTTAGCTCGGTTTTTAGTTTAAAATGCAATTTTTTTCAATTCATTTAAAAAATAAAATGGTAATTAAAAATATCCGCAAAAATAAATAAAAACATTTATGGATAAAACCTATTTGTTTACATTTGTTATATGTACATGCATAATTAATATAATACAAATATCGGAAACATATAAACATTTAAAAAATATATATTCTAAAATATATTTTTATGGCTTAATACGACAAAAATGTAATTTATATTGCTCTACTGAGTTTTAAAACTCAAGTATTTTTAAGGACCAGTCTATTATTCTAAATAATTCTAAAATTTTGTAAGCATTGTAAATTGTAAAAATTTTAATTTTTTTATAAATATTACATTATAATCTTAATTTTTACTTTAAAGTTAACCTAAAAATAAGATAAAAATAATAGTTTTGAAATAGAATAGAAGTAGGTATTAATTATTTAAAAAAACGCCCACTTTCTACAAGAATATTTATTTTGCTGATGGTTGTTGGTGTTGTAAGTGTATTTTTTATATGAAATTAATTATATTTATTTGAGTTTTTAATTTAATTATATAAAAAAAAGGTTTACATTTTTTTATCGACCCACGCTAGTTTTATAAAATTGACCTTTAAAACGTTATTAAATACATATTTTTAACGCAATTTTTGTATTTTAATATAATAGTAATTATTAATTATTATTAATTACTAATTAATATTATTAATAACTAATAATTAGGGGTACCTTGATGTAAACAAAATGTAAAAATGTTTAAAACCATTGGAGAAGAGTAAGC